AGATGACCAATATAAAAGTTGTACATCTTAATGAGTTCTACAACTTTGATGTTTATAAAATTTTCATTTGAAGTCATTTAGTGTCTTAAAATTCTATTAGTTCTTTTGAAATTTAAATTTTCAATTTTTAAAATAGTGTTTTTGTTAAGACAAAAATATATAATTATATTTGTATATATATATCATGAAATTGTTTATATATATATTTATTTATACATATATAGAATAATAAAAAAAGTATTATAAAAATTTACATTGTGTTCTTTATATATAAATTACAAAATTATTAATTAAAATAAATTGAAAAATAATTGTAGGGGCGGCTTACTCAAGAACCGCCCATACAAATCGATTTATAGGGGCGACTGGTGTTTTAAGCCGCCTCTACAAATGACCTTCGATATATAAGCAAGAGCTCGCGGGAGGCCGAAATTATTGTGAGTCCTGGGCGCTTTCTTCCTCTCGGACATCGGTAGGCTGCCGAATTTTTTCTCCGCCGCCCCCATTGCCGCTGCCGCTGTCTCTATGGCCTACAACTGCCTTCTCTGCCTCCTCCATCCTCACCTAACTACGCCTTTGTCCACCGTGCCCCAACCGCCGCATTTCCGCAGGCCGCCGGGGCGGCTAGGGTTTGCCAGATCGAGCTCGCAGCGCTGGCCGCCCTGCCACTACCCCGCCTAGGACCTGTACCTCCGACCTCGCCGGCCCGCGTGTGTGCTTTGACAACTTCGGTGGGGGGCTAGGGTTTGAGCTCCGTCGGCTCGGCCGTGCGCTCTAGCTGGCGACCCCGCCACCGACGCTCCCTCTCCGACCTCGACCACTGAACTCGTCGGCCCGCGTGCTCTCTCTGGCATCTACTTCTACCGCCGCCACCTCCCATGCTCTCTGGCATCCGTGCTCCTCCAACGACGGGCGGCCCGGCTGCCCGTGCTCTCCTGCATCCAGATCCCCGGCCACCACGCACAGCCGTCGGCGTCCCTATCTGTCTGGTCTTCTACAGGTACTCCCAACCCCTGCTCCATTCCCCAGCCCTGCTAGTCTTGTGTGATGGATTGCAGGAAGCATTTCTCAAGTTTGCAGTGATTGGCAGTGACATTTCTCAAGTTTGCATTGTTTGCCTAATCTGAATTGTTGATTACGTTTCTGTTGCTATCAACCAGTTGTATTACTTAGCTTGTGAAGTTGGGAAATGTCTATCTAGTTGCATTTAGGGTATCCCTATGATCCCCTGAGCATGGTGGGGCCTTTGGTTACGTACAATGATGTTCTATCATGCATCCATGTACACACACAAGTAAGTATATGCTGGGGTATTTGAACAGTCTAATTTGATGATTGAGGCCTACTGTAACATATAAGCAAATAACCATGTCACATTCACTTAACTAGTTATATTGACCGCTGATATACTATATACAAAAGATAGTTTGATGAAATAGTTTGATGAACTTCTTTGTTGTTGTCTTGGACTGGTGACATGCAACCTTCGGTATTAGAGGTGAGCTTAGAGTGGAGGTGATCAATTTAGGTGTTTCGGTTAATGCTGCAGAAACTGCAGCCTGTGCAGTTTGTGTTGTGATAATATGTTTTTGTTTAAAATTTTATTTTTTGGGAAACTTGTTTATACAAAAGTCATAGGGGATTTTGTCGTCTATGCTGTCCAAAAATTTCATGATTTTATCTCCATAGGTTTGGAAGATATGAATTTTTGATGTTTGCTATTAGGTTTTGACTGTGTGCTGTAAAGTTCTGAAATTTTGTGTATTTCGACCTAGTTAGCATCAAAACTAGCTCCTATTGATAACTAGAAAGTTGTAGTGCTTTTCTAAAGCTTTCCATGTTGCTATGAAACAAAATTTTTGGTTGGGTAGAACTCTAGATATGAATTTCTAAAGTTTCAACTTAGGTTCTGTCCATGTCTATGCAGCAATGCTTCCTTGTGCTTTTGGGCCTCTATAAACTTAGATTTATTTAAATAACTATAATATTGTTGTCCAGTGTTTGTATTTTATTTCTTGGCTATGTATGCAAAAGCTTAGCTAATGTTACCTATAAGTATCTAAAGCAATGTGCTAACCATGGCTCTTTTCTTCTCTCCTCTCTTATCTGTTGCTGACCATAGCAGTGTGCTCTCCTCTCTTATCTGTTGCTGACCATATAGTAGCAAATCTCCTCTCTATTTTTTTGGCAAGCAGCAGCTGACCATGGATGATATTGATGACTTGCCTATGTATAATTGAGCACAAGCCCTTTGTCGGTGATGATTTTTTACTAATTTGAGAGGACCTCCCAAAAATTGCTTCTACTACTACTTCTACTTCAGCTAATGGGTTGTCTTTTAATTTGTTTTAGTTTGGCGGAGGACCTAGTAGTCTTGGGCCAACTAAGAATACAATTTGAGATTTTTCTCCTATCTTTTAATTTGCTATATGAGTTTTTTTTAACCTTCCTCCCTCTCTCTCTTTCATCTCTATCTTCCTGTCTGCTAATGAGATGAATAATGTGACTTAAAAACTAAGGCAAAGGGCTTTCGTGCAATGTTGATTTGCTGAATCTCATGAATTTGTTGCTGCTTTTGCTGTTGCTATATTGGTGCTACTGTTCTATTCTCTCTTCTAGTGCTACTCCTACTACTTGTACTGCTCTCTTCTCTAGTTCGGCTACTACTACTACAACAACCACTAGTATAGAAACAAGCTGTACTCCTAGTTGGGAAACCCCTTCAGTCCTGGTTTTCCAATCAGGAGCACGAATCCAAGACTAAAGGGCCCCTTCTTTAGTCCTGGTTTCACGCCCGGGACTAAAGTTCCACCTTTAGTCCCAGTTGGTAATACCAGCCGGGGCTAAAGAGGCCTCCCGGCCTGGCCACATGGGCCGGCCCTTTAGTCCCGGTTGGTATTACCAACTGAGACTAAAGGTTTTCTTTTTTTTCTTTTTTTTGTTTCTATTTTCAATTGATGATTCGTTTTGGTTTTTGAATATGTTTTCGAATACGCATTCTACGCTGCTAATAATATACATATTCTACACGCTTATAATGTTCGAACATTTTGTACAAACTAAAGTATGAAACTAACGTATATATTACATGCATATACATATATTGTACGTTATTTTATGTACATATAATATATATATATATATTACAAATAAAGCTTGCATTGCATATTCTATCATATCCTTGGGATAACAAATTCACTCCATCTGGTTTGGCTTCCATGTTTCGTTCATGTCATTGTAGAACTCGCCGGCGGGGTTTAAGACCTGGTCATTAAGAAATCCTACTATGGTCTCTTGAATTGCTTTCAGTTGATCACGTCGTATGACTTTTTCCTTCAACCATAGAGTCTTTAATAAAAGTTAAAGGAAAAGTATTAATATATATATATATATGTGTGTGTTGGTCATGTGATTACTTATATATATGAGCAATAAAATAAATTGTGAATATATGAATATATTTATATAACGTACTTTGAGGATCTCTTCAGGAGTTCTTTTTGCGTACGCCATGATGAACTCGCAAACATAGTATCCGCAGTAGTTGTTCCCCTGTTCTTGCCTCAGAACCCACTTTTACGAGAAAAAAGATCTGGTGAATTGAAAGCATGCATGGTGTTAATTGAATTATATATATATATATATGTAGCTAGTACTTACTTTGTGTGCGATTACATCCAGTGGCGCTTTGCAATGTTTCATATGGTGTTCCTCAATGAAACTTTTCCAAACACTGCGTCCAATAAAATAAAAAATTAATTTGGCCTTTAATAATTGTTGCAGTTAAGAGATCGGGGTATATATAGTTGCTATAGAGACCAAATTACCCTTGGATAATATCTATCATGTCTTGGTACCCTGTTTGCTCTTTTCTTAATGAGTCTAAGATGCTCAACCGACTATTGGCCATATCGATGACCATCAATATCCTGTGATTGCTACATATATTTTTATACACAAATATGATCGACATTAACTAGAGTCAACATATATATATGGGAGATAGCTTAGCTAGTAAGCAAATAATTGAACAAATATCCATATGATCGACATTAATTATTTAACACTCACTTGAAGTTGTAGGGGAAGAGTATGTCCTTGTTTTGTTGGTTCACTAAGAACCTCATGAGATTTTTCTCGAGTTCAGCTTTCCATTGAGGCGGGGGAGTAGGGTGTTTGAAGACGACATTTGGATCAATGAAACCAACATCATTATCCTTTCTCTTTCTGAGTTCTATCATCTCATATCTGCATATATAAAAATATAGTGTGAGGATATATAATTTATATATATACCCACTACTACAGCGTAGGGATATAGTAACACCAACCTGTGTTACTGTATATTGGAAAAAGTGTTACTAGCTCACTTAGTAACATATTTTCTTTTGTGTTCTAATTGGCTATGTTACAATAGATATTGTAACACAACTACTTGTCTACAGGAACACTTGTCTAGTGTTACAATGATTTCTGTTGTAACACTTTTTTTTGCTCTAGTAACACTTAACAATATGGTAGAATGCATAGTGTGGAACACATTTATTTATCTATCGTAACATTTGCATAGTGTCACAAGAATGTCTATTGTAACACTTTTTTTAGTTCTAGTAACACTTCCACATTATGGTAGAGCACAATATATGAAACAAAACAACACATGGTTTGTAACACTTTTTTATATCTATTGAAACATATTCGGATTATGAAACACATATTTATTTCTCCAATACATATGGCACAAGGATTATTATATAATCGCACAAATATGACACACTGTAAAATCACATAAACCACAAATTTCCATAATCATAGCATGATCCACATATTGTGGAATGATCTCAAACATAGTGCTTGTTTAGAACAAATCGTAGTATATGTACATAACGATATGGCTCAAGAGAGCAAACACACGTAGTCCATACTAGAAAGAAAAATTCAAGAACTAGCTATGATTCCTAAAGTCCACTGCTTCTTCCTGTGCGCATTGATGTAGGAATTCAACCATTAATCATTTGAACCTGCAAAGAAAATTTAAGTTGTAACATTACAAATTAAGGCACATATATACATTGATGTAAAGTTAGGAAAGCTAGTTTTGAACATACAAACATTGAAGGCCAAGCAATTTGGACTCCTTTGGCATGAGCATCACCAATATTGTCGCACCCAAGCATAGGCCTCACTAATGGCTCATCTTTTGTTATAGGATGATTGATACGCACTTTGTAGAATTGACTTCCTATCTTAACTCCACCAACAAGGGCTTCTGGATTAGTGCTCAAGAGAGTTGCATATGCCACATTAGCCTTATTAGGATATTTCAAGTCATTAGTAGCACTTTGTGGACCCAACCTACATTAATTTGACATAATCTCTTAGTGACCAGCAACCCTTTAGTTGTACATCGTGATCATGCATTTAGAACAAGTGATATGTTCAACTACCTTCATTAGAGAAAGTCGTTTAGGTGTTTGGTGCCTGTAGCTTGTAGCCTTGTCATGAGCCACCTCCTGGTGTGCAATGGTTCTAGTATCTACAAGCCCTCCGTGATGTCCCTTACACATGTCAAATGAAAGTACAAAATAATAAGACACAAAATCTACTATAATTATAGCAAAGTGTGGTTCATAGATACCTTTTGTTTCTTTGGTATTATTCTACTTGTGGCGGAACTCCTTTGACAAGAATCAAAGCTGAACGGAAGAGAAAGGCAATTGTATTTATACATTGTTATAGACATCTTAAATAACTAGCATTACAAGTCTAATATATTTTATTCAATGGTACATTGAAATAGTGTACCTCTGTTGGTGCAAAATCATTATGGAGGTGTCGTTCAAATATTACTGTGTACGCTTCTTCTACTTCCTTGTCATTATTATCACTTTGCAATCGATTCCAATTCAAAATCGTTCAAATGATAATTAGTAGGTAAAATATTAACATGTACTAAACTAAGAGTATATTGTTGTTCTTAAATACAAGAAACCAGTTGATAACCTTTTTCTCCAGATAAAAGTACATTGTCATCATCACTAAATTCAAACTCACATGTTTCTTTATTCTAGTAAGCAGAAAAGACAGTAGCATTAGCTGTTATAAAATCCTTTATGGATGCATAAGCATTAAATTCACAAGCAAGGGTGACTTTACCAATTCATCCCTATGTTTGAGGAATCCCTCATTCAGTTGGGTGCACCACACTGGACTCTCTAAAATTTTGAAAGGATATTAAAGCCAAAATACTAGTTTAGGTGAAAACATGGAAAATAGTGCAAATACCTTTCTTTTAGAATTCAGTACTTGATTTCGAGAATTGTTGTGATCACTCCTAGCACAATTTCCCTAGAAAAGATATAAAGTTTGAATAACGCATTTCAATACTGAGTTACAAAATTAAGTCGTACATTCTTACCATTGTTGCTTCTTGGTTCTCATTGTGCCTCGATTGTTTTTTAGTTCTTCGATAACTTTGTCTTGCATTCTAGAATGCTCTTTGAGTTGCCTTATTTCCTCCAACATGTGAACCTCTACATCAGATGATGAGCCATCTAGTGAAACTATATTAATGTCCTTAAAATGGTGTGTTTTTCGACCATAAACTTGTTTAGGAACCGGAAGCAATCCCATGCCGTGCACTTGTCCAGCTTTTTCTTCTCCCAACACCTGATGTAATGCATCACCTTCCCATGCAACTCCGCCCTCACTATTTTGTGCTAACTCTGGTTGTGTGTCTAGGAGATTTTCCAATTGAGGGCCTGTTCAGCAGGACTAAAAAATACTGTTTCGACTGATTGTTGTGAGAGAAAAATACTGTTCTAGCAGGACGTGAATAGTGATTTTGTGAGGTGGCTGGCCAGCCGGCAATCAGCCAGCTAGCCAGCCGAACACAGCCTGAACCTACAACAATGAAATTCAGACATCAGAAAACAGAAATAATTATATATTGCAAAAAAGTTCCCATGTGCATGTAGCATACCACTGGCTCATTTATCCCTTTTCCCCTTTTCCTGTGAGTGGCTAGATAAACCTTTGCTCTATGTGGCTGTTTTTTTTTAGGATCAGCTTGCCTCTGCAAAAATAGTAGTAAAGGAAAAGCAAGAAGAATCATATATAATTTTTTTACGAGAAGATGTACTCACCATGTTCTCAGACCAACGAGCATAACTCTTTATACCTGTTGTATGAGTTGTCTTCCTCATTTCACGACTTATTTTATTCTTTTCACTAAGGGTCTACAAGAAAAGTAAATTATTAAATAATGAACCATTATACATGTAGAAATCAACAATAGTAGACGATAATAGTAAAAAATACCAAACAGTGTAAATAGTGGTGCCTTACTTTTCCTTCTTCGGACTTCCATTATCCTACTAGGGCCTTCCATTCAGCTTCAACAATATCATCTGGACAACGCTTGTTCAAAACAGACCTTTTCTTCTTTGGATTAAATAGTGTCTTTTTTAATGTTGCCTTGTATTTTCTCCAATCTCTTCCAATTGATTTGAATATCCATTTCTCACATGAATGAGGATACAAGAACTTTGTCTAAAATAAGAAAGTCACTAAAGAATGAATTTGACTTCATGACATGATAACAATCATATCTTTTATACAATGAAATCTGCACCAAACACTCTTGCCTATCATTTGGCCACGTGGGCTCACAATATTATATGAGCTAAACGCTACTGCACTCAACACTTAAGATGTAATTCACTTCACAAATTCAATTATACTTGAATAAAAAGACCAAATCATCATCCCAAATAACCTCTCATCTATTCAAGATATATCAGGTTTATTTTCGAACTGAAACAAAAACAAAGATGGCTAGAGACAAACTGATGTAGGTGCTAAGAGCGAAGAAAGAGCTAACCTGTACAAATTGAATGATGGTTTCTCCATAGTCTTTCTTAACTTTTCCCCAATCTTTGGCACCAACCGGACAGTAACCACCATTTCTTGCTATGGTGCCCAAAAATTGGCCTAAAAGGCCACCTTCTTTTCCAATGGGCTGTCCAAGCTTATTACATCTTACTAATATCCTATCTCCGTCAAGTAGATCCCAAACATGTGTTAAAACAGTCCCCTTTCGCTTTTTAGGTTCTTTGTCGCCATCAGCTATTAAAAATAGAATGACAGTGATAGTAACTAGTTAAGATACAGTCCATATGAATGAGATTGATCTAACTACATTTGTACCTGATGTGTTCTGGTTCTCATCATCGCGCTACTCAACCTTGTTACCATATAGTGCTTCAGTATGCATTAAATTTAATGCTTTCTTTTTCTTTGTACCTCCTCTTCCTGCTAAACAAATTTTGAATAGGCTAATCTTGGATGAAAATAAATCATTGATAACTACCATGATATGGAATAGTTAAGTTGTACTTGAATAATCAGATATACATACTGAAGAGTAAAATTATATGTTCATTCTAATACCTTTAGTTTTTTTTGGTTTAGATTTGGATGGTTCTTTGTTGGACTTGGTAGGCGCTAAAGTGGCCAGTCTGTCCTTTGTCACAAACAAGCTAACCATCTTTTTGCTCTCACACTCGTTAAGCATTTTCATCACTTCAGGATCTTGTTCTAGTACAACCAAGCTATCTTTTCGCTTGTAGTATAGATAGTCAACTGATGAGTATCCATGATCCTTGATCAAATCAATCAGGTTCCAGTAGCATATCACATCTCTGTCCATTTCTGTTTGCACATGTCTCTCTCCTTCAGGTGCCCCATCACATTCAAGATTTATGGTCCAATTATCCACAGCCATGGTTGCACAATCTAAATAAAATAAAGTACCAATAGAAAATTAAGAATAAAGATAACAGAAGAGTAACAATTAGATTAAAGTGCATATATGTAATGTTATTTGAACTTGGAGCTTGTGAACAAGTGAAGTGCTACGGTTCAGATAGAATGGTCAAAAGGATGGCATATTAGCTTTATATATAATACTTGTGTTTTTGCTCAGGTATGTAAAGATTTGATGCCACTAGGCAATAGAATTTTGAAACCTTATATCAGCACATAGCAATATCAGATTGCTAAATTTCCAACCATTGCAAAATATGACAATTAATCTTTGCAGGCACCAACAACTAATTTTACATGCAGGAAAACAGAACTAGCCAAAAATTTTAATCTTTGCAGGCACCAACAAAATATTTTTACATGAAGAGAAATAAATTAGACCCTGCACACATATCAAGATGTAAGAAAGAACAATCTTTTTATTCATCTACAGGTCTAGACCAGACATGCAAGATTTTTTTTGAGTTGTAAAATAGACATCCTCAGTCAAAATAAATTGTCATAATGATCAATCAGTTCACAACCTATATGAGGCAAATACCACTTGTGAGGTTGAGGAAAACAGAGCAGAACTACATACAGCTGCAGACTTTTGTCACCCAGCGTATCTGGCATATTCAAGTCATTGCCTTCAGTACTACTACCCCAACTTGACTCCAGTAGTTAAAATCTTGTGAAAAGTGATTCTGAAATATCTTTTGTGTGAAAAGCGGTGCATTTAAGTATTCTGAAGGTGGAGGCACAACTTTAGTTTCTAGTTTTACAGAACCAAAATGATTGATCTGTGCAGACTAAATTTACAAGGGCAGGGACAGAGCGGCTGCGATGAACTTTGCCGGCGGGTTCAAGGTGGCCGGGAACTGCTTGGGCTCGGACACTCAAGCAGCTGCGTGGAAGCGTGCGCGAGCGCGGCACCGGAGGGCGGTGGCTGACGGTGAAGCTGCTGCGTGGCAGCTGCTTGCTGCTGCTACTGTTCTCAACTGAAACAGCCCTCTTCCTCTCTCTCTCTTTCTCCTAATTTCGCAAAACAGCAAGATGATCGGCCTTAAGAAAAGTTGGTCATCTACAAGAGCTCACCATCTTTGCTTAAGGGACCATCATCAAAAGATCACTGGTTTTAAAGATTTTGAATTCAGAAGATGGGCACTGTGAAACTGTAACTGAAACCACATTCAGAGTTGTGGAAAACTGATTTTACTTATCAAACCTTGCCAATTAACTAATGGATAACCATTTGTCAAACATCGCAACCAACTAGAATTATCATATCTGAAGCAATCTACCAAACAATGGAACAAAAATTTGGACAAATTTTATTCCTATACTTCTAGTGTATACTACCTATAGGATGAGGCCCAAGGGATTTGTATGCCTAGGGCAATGATCATGGAGCGATAAGGCAGTAGGAGACTAGGACATCGGCATCGGGTACCTCGAGCGGCACAGGGTTCCGTTCGCTGACTGGCCCGCTTGTGAAGAGGGCCGATGATTTTTTTCAGCTAGATTCAATTATTCGATACGACTGAGTCACCGAGAGGGGCATCTGTTTGGCGGCAGATGTATTGTTCGGAGGGAAAATTTGGTGGGAAATACTTTGTCTATTTTTTTGAGGGAAACTAATGTTCCATGTCTCTTGATTCTAGATTGGTTTTGTGATAATATTAATAATATGTACCAAATTAGTGTATTTTAAACTAAAGTCTAATAATAATTGTAATATTTACATTAACACATAAATGAATTTTTATATAACTAATGGCACCAAATTAATGTGACCAATTATATTACTATTATTAATATGATAAATATTAATGAAAAATAGTTTCTTGAAACGAGTATTATTAACTACCACTACACTTTCACTTATGGCTATAGAGCATATGGTTTCATCCAGGATAATGCCGACGCGTGCAGGTGAAAGTTGCTCGGTCTGCACACCTTTCCCCCTCGTCTTCTCCTCCTTGCGTCTTCCCCCACCACTGGCGCCATGTTGTTCCCCTTCCACCTTCTCGCCCCGTTCGGCTCCATACATTCTGCACACCTTCCGTCTCGTCTTCTCCTCCTCGCGTCTTCCCCGCCACTGGCGCCACATCGTTCTCCATCCACCTCCTCACCTCGTCCGACTCCATATTTTTTTTGAGATCTCAACTCTTCATGTGCAAGTTGTAGTAGCCGGGACTCATGCACCAACTCACACCACAACAAACGCACACACACACTCACAAACACACCTAGTGCGCAAATTAGATCTACACCTATACAAAGAGACTGGACGTGGCTAAGAGGTATATGAAGTTGTCACCTTGTCTTCGAACGTGACGAGCACGTCACCCTGACGACGAATGTGGTATATCCATGTCTAAGGTACCTAAGCCAGGACCAACCACAGGCTCTTGCCATCCAAGCTATGCTCGGTTCTCTCCAGCTCTATATCTAGTGCCCCTAAGCTCGCCCCCGTCTCCACCACCTCCGACCGCTGGTGACGACCACCTTCTTCCCCTTCCCCCTCTCTTGATGCGGCCATGGCAAACTAAGGCAACCTCCTCAACAAAATCCTATGCGGTGACAATGCTTCTTCTCCGGTGGCGGCAACAGTGCTTCTTCTCTGGGGGCGGCAGTGTTTCTTGTCCGGTGGCACCAGTGAATCGACGGCCAAGGAAAGCAGCAGCGAGCATCGCGCGATGGATCGGGTGTGCGCGCCGAGCGGCGAATTTGTACGCGCTTGGACGCTAGCATTTCCCAAAATCTTGAGTTCCATATTTGACATCCAAAAGTTCTCAAATAATGGGATCAGATGAAAACAAAGTTTGGAATAAAAAGCTATAAATTTTAAAATTTGAGGGATTTAAAATAAAATTTCAATATGTATTTTTCAGAAATAATTATGCACTTAAAAACATTTTTCCTGATGTCAGCATAACCGGTTGTTTTGGGCTTTCAAAACAACCGGATTCTCGGCCATCGGATCTGTACTAGCTGCCATCTGAGGCGTAGTTTGCTTCCCATTCCCTCTGGCTTTGTCGCACAACGGCCGCCGCCGCCGCCCCAAGTCCAGGCCGGTTTGCTCCGCTCGTCGTCGCATAGGTCCCAGGCCGCCACCGCCCAGGCGCAGGCTTCTCCCCGCTCCCTCCTTCGTCGTAGCTCCCAGGACGCCGCCGCCCAGGCCCAGGTGCGGGTGCGGCCATCCACGGTCGTCGTCCCCGGCGCGGACGCCGTCGTTCCCTGCCGGCGTCCCGGTGCAGGCGGGGGCGCGGCTGTCCCTGGCCGGCGTCCACGGCGCGGTGGCCGTCCACGGTGCGGAAGTTACCGTCCCCCGGCGGCGTCCCCGGCGGTCGTTCCTGGCGCGGACGCAGGTCGGGCCCCTCCTGTCCACCATTTTTTTTTGAAAATTCTCAAGAATATGAAGAATCTGTGGAATATAATAGCCTACTTAAAAGCGAATGCAAGAGGTAGTAAAGATACAGTTACTGTAGCCTATCGTGTCTGCTCACTATCAGGTAGATATGGTGGAAGAGCTTCTTTCTGAATGCAAATAATGTATTTTCAGTGTACAAAGATTTAAAAAGTGGTCAGAAACAGGCCATAGAGATCAGAAACAAAAAACAACATTAGAGAAAAAGAATCACATATATCTTGGTCTTCATAGCTCCGAAGAAAACACATAAAAGAACTAATTTGGCCAAACACTAAGCCACTCAAGTCTCAAACTTTAGATACAAACTCAGATTATCCAGCTGACCAAAAATAGCAAGCAATCAAAATAGGTTGAATTCCATGTTCAGAAGTGAATAACGGCTCACTGAATTATTGGGGTGGTCTAGCAGAGCTTTCAACAAGCAGTAGGTACCCAGAGCTCTGTTTTATTGGAGATCAGCAGCAAAAGCTAGCAGCTGCACAATTGTAGCTACTCACTGTTTGTTCAGTGATCTGTACAGGCTGCCATATATCCAACATCCTTTGTTTTTTGTGGAATTATCCAATTTTCTTATTGCCCTAGGCATACATCATGAGGCAATAATTAGCAGGCTGTACACTTCCTCATTTATCATCAAAGGAAAAAGAAGCAAAAGTTCATGGATTTTTTTTTACAATTAATTTCAGCATTGTCCATCAGCACACAGCACCTTGACTACAGCTCCTTCAGGCAACACTATACTACTTCAGATAGGATTCATTATAGTATCATGGAAAACATAGCTGAATTGTTTTAAAAGAAATCATAGATGAATGCATATAGTGATGCATCCTGCAACTCTGAGCCATATATTTTCATACTGACAACTAGAGCACATTTTATTTCAGTGAACCAAATCCAGAGGTCCAAGTTCAGAGAACCAAATTTGTAGAAACTATTACAAACATTTTGCAAGAGCATTGCCAAGTGAGTGAAATCTGAAGTCTTTCCTGTACATGCTATATTGGCAAAGTATTCTGATTCATTGTAATTCTCCCCCCAAACTTTTTTCTTTTAGCAGTCCTCTGAAGAAATAGTCAAATTGTTTCATCATCACAGTGGTTATATTTCGAGGAGGCTATTAGAATCATAGCAGACAGTCCCATCGGAAGGCTATTGTGGTTCCTGTGAAGTTAAAACAAGGTGGACGATCCAAATCTACTTTCTTTATTGCTACTATTATAGATTTTTCATCGCTCGTAACAAGGATAAATAAACTAATGCAGTGATAGTATTTCTTGTTTTCAGTGAATTAATGGACTTAAATGCTATTAAGAGGTTGTTGCAATCTGAAAGACCAAGTGATGAGTACATAGCTGGAGTAAAAGGTTTTATTAAGTTTGCCTACAGTGGAAAAAGGTCCGATGCAAAGATTCAGTGCCCATGTGTCAAATGTGTCAACAGACGGTTACAAACGCAAGAAACAGTGTATGAGCACTTAATGTGTAATGGAATGCTGCGTGGATACACTATATGGGGTTGTCATGGGGAAACAACATCTTATA